TTAAAAGAGCAGTTGGTTGTCCTTTCAATGTACTCCAGGCGTACCCTCCCCTCACTCTGCCCACTGGGTTGTGGAGTCTAGTGAGGCTGGTAGAGCTCTGGGCAATTTAGTTGTGAACTACATATATCACTCTCTGGACTGTTGAACTGGGGAGAGAAGTCATCGACCCCTCCCATTTCAACCTTAAGTATCCTTTCTTTCGAAAGGAAAGGTAATCAACAAAGGGCACGGCTGAATAAAAAACCTTTTAAACATTGGCTGGAAAACATGAATACATTAGCTACATTAGAATAAAGATATCTGGCCTACTCCCATTACAATATGCCTCTAATTAATCTAAATGGATATTAGCATTTTAATAAATCATTTCAGGAGCCTTCTCAAAGGAGACAAACCATTCCCATTACTCAATTTCATCCTCCATTTCATTTACAGAGAAAAAGAGGGAGAAGAAAGACAATCCCTAATCTTTCTCTTATATATTTTCCCCCCTCTCAGAAAAGAAACAGAAATTAAGGACTGTCAACAGAGTGACCTAAGGAAAACTCTCTAAATGATTCTTACTTCTTAAGTCAATCATTCATCATGAAATCCTATACAGAGAAGCGGAACAATGACAATCTTAAATCTTGAGGGGCTACTTCTTTCAACAAACTATATTCTGAAAAGTAGAGAACATGTTGCTCTCAACAATATTTTAATGAATACATTAAATAAAAAGCAGATGGCTTGGGGGAGGATTCAAAAAAGAAATTAGGACAACAGACTGGTAAAGCTGTCCCTGGTATCTCTTCCCACTAAACAAAAGGATACAGAAATTTTACACCTACTTAATTTTCCTTTAGAAAATTAAAACTCTTTGTATAAATTTTAACATAGTAATACATCAAGCAACTTTCAGCAACATGACCCACTGATTCTTTTAAGCTTTTGGATCACAGGAGCCATTTGTTCAGACATGCCTGCTTCTTATAACTCTTGGCAAACAACTGCATTATCAAACAACTGTTAGCTGGGGGTGGGGGCGATAGCGAAACAGGATTCTAGTGAATTATTATTCCCTGGCCATGGTCCATTCTAAACATGGAAAATGTGGATTGCATTATTAAAAGGCATGGAATTTATAGGTAAATTCCATCAACACATTTGGCTACTAAGGTATTATCATTTTTCTTTCTGACCAACATATAAAAAAATTCCTTGTTTTAAATGTAAGCAATCACAGGTGATTAATGTTTTAATTTTTTATTAAGAAACTAAAGCAAAAAAGAATTTCAAAAAATTAATATACAGAATTCTAATTTTAATTCTAAACAAATAAGAAATCTATACCAAGAACTAAGTATCAGAGTTTACCAATATTTAAGAATAAAGGGGAATGGCTAAAATGCATTCACAGTCACTATTTCTTCCTTACAAGCCTCAGATTTGCTTCACTCGGATAGGATACAAAAAGAATTTTTCTCATCTATCTTTAGTTACTATCGTCTGTAAATTCAGAGCTTTTTTTCTTCCTACATTGGGTTTGATAACATGAGCATAAAGATGAGTCCATCAGAGATTCTTTCTTAAGATGTTTAGGGGAGCTAAGACATAAACAAATAATAAATATAAATAAATTTATACAAGGTACAAAGTAATACAGCATGAGCTATGTGTAAATATAAAGACAAGGAAATTTCAAGGAAGGAGAGATTACATTCAGCTGGAGAAACTGAGGAATGCTTTATTAGAATAGCATTTGGGTTAGGTATGAACTGTTCCTTTCAGGAAGGCTTTAAAGTGGTGGTCTTGATTTCTAGAATGTAATCTCAATACTCATCTTTAAAATTCAAGTTTCTATCTTATCAAACTGTTCATTTTTTTAGACGATCAAAAATATAAATATTACAGTCTATATAAACAGCAGTTTGGAGACATAAATGAAAAGTTAATTGTAATACCTACTATGTGGGTTAGGGCTCTGTTCTTTTCAAAACTCTCTCTCCCAGGTCAAATCATATCTCAAAGACGGAAGATGCCTAATCACGGAACCATGACTTGAAGTATTCCACTGAGCAACACCTACTTGCTTTAGGTGCCTTATCAAATCTATATCCAAACTTACAGGAATAAGAATGAAGGAGGTGAAATAAATGGGTCAATATTCAAAACTCAGATAATGAAAAAATAACGGCAACTAAGAAATGACATATATTAACCACAGAATTCTTTGTATGAAAAGTTTTAATGAATTGTGAGCCACTGACCATTACAGACTTTAAAACTTAATATTTCTTCTTTCCTGTGTAAAACCAGATAATTAAACCAGCCTATCTCAAGTATGACAGAAGACCATAGAATGAATAAGAGTAATAGTAATGTTTTCTTACCCATCTGCACGCTTTGCTAAATTTAAGAACCAAAGAGAGTGCTCCTGGTTTCCAAAGTCAACAGAGCAAATTCAATTACACATTTCTTCCTGATCATAGTTTCAGCTGAAATACAACAAATATAACTTTGCCTTTCAATAGCACTTTTTATCCATAGCACAAGCACTTTCCCATTATTTTCTTCTTTACCCCCAATATCCTTATGAGGTAGTGAAGGGAGGGAGCAAGGATTTTTTTTTTTTTTTGCAGATGAGAAAACTTAAAGTGAATTTAGATCAGTGGTTCTCAACCTTGGCAACATATTGAAATCACCTAAGAAGTTTTTTTAAATCCTTATGGTCATGTCATAGCCCAGACCAACATCAGAATATTAGGGTATGGGACCCAAGCATCAATATTTTTCAAAATGCCTGTGACTCCAAACTATAGCCAAGGTTGAGAACTACTGGTTTAGATGATTTATATTCAATATTCAGAGGCAACTGGCTTCTACTTAAGTGCTCTCTCAGCACCAATGAAAAAGAGATTCCATTTCCTCAAACATTGTAACAGTTTGTCTTAGTATTCTGTACAACTACTATTGGTCTCCAGTAACAAATTAATTTACCAGGTTATAAATGAAGGCTCTTCATTCCCCTGATGCTCATGCTAAATATGAACCTCCATTTTATAAAATTTGCAAATTGGATATTAAAGAATTTAAGTCTTTGAGACAAGAATGGCTTGTTATTAAATATTTAGGCAATCATTTGATTCTAGGTTCAATATGCAATAACCATGTGTTTCCATTTTCCATTCAGCACCTTCAAAACTTTGTTACAAATGAATGTTTACTAATAAGACAAAACAGAAGATATAAACAAAACTCTGAGCAAAAGCTCTTTGAATTGACCATATCACAATCTGAAAAAGAAACAAGTGCTTAAAAGACCTTATAGCTTTCTAACTAGTTCAATCTTTAACCTGAACCAGATCTCTTCTTTAATTAAATTTTAAACTTTGCCAAATTGAGTTGTTCTACACCAAGAAAAATCAATTTCTGTAGCAGCTATGTTCTCTAATACATTTAACATATAATTTCACTCTGTAGTATTAAATATGGTTTCTAGGAGGTTTCTTCCTTGGTGTGGGTATCAAAAAGGATCTTTAACAGATTACACCTTTAAGCAACACACCAAATACACAACAAATACTTGTAAACCTTTCAGGTGGCAAAAATGAAATCTTTGTTCATGACTGAAATCCCTTGTTTCACAGGAGTACTGATAATATTAACTCACAAGGAGCAACCCAAGAACCACAGCCAGATGCTTGCTGTCCCTAAATTTTTTAGATTCAAAACAAAATATGCATACAGCAAAACCTAAAAACTACAAAGATTCCACTTGCCTTAGTCACTTCTTATCACAAAGATGTATCTGAAACCATACAATTTATACTTTCATACAGAAAGATGTTTGTTTCCTTTCTAACAAAAGAAAATCTCAGCTCATGTACATTGAATTATTAATTTGAAAGAGTATTAGTGAAATCAGATTTCTTAGTCAAAAATTCTGAATAGGAATTAATGTTAAACTCTTCTACAATAAAACCTTCAAAATATCACCAACCTGAAGTTTCCAGCATAAGGTGTTTTATTTCAAGTCCCATGGGGGCAATTATTTATAATGAGATAAAGAACATTCTTAAGCTGGGTTCAGGTTGGCACTGTTTCAGATGGATGAGTAAACATTTTCTTGACAACCCCAATGAAGAGTTTGAGGCTTAGATTGTTGCATGATGTAAACAATATGAAATTAAAAAATTATAATATCTACAGCATTATAAAGTTACAAAATAAAAGGACCATTGATCAATTATTTTCTTAAGGTCTGTGACTAACAGCTTTCATATTTGAGAACAAATGGCAATGTCCTCTGTTCTTATGAGACACTTTCTTGGAAGGTCAAAAAATAAAACCAGATTCTATAAGATGCACATTATTATTATTATTGATATACGAATGATTAGAAATAGATTTGCCTTCCCTAAATCTTAGCCTGGAGATTTGAGGGATCTGTATAATAATTTTGATGGTTAAAAAAATAAATCAGACTGTAATAGGCATGGAAACTGTAAGCCAAATATAATACAAAATGAGCCAATACAACACATCTCCTCTTAAAATTTTCTTCTTTGTAGTTATCAAACTGTCCCTAAATGTTATTTTAATTTTGTACCATGTAGTGGTTTTTAAGAAATTGAACTAGAACAAAGCAACTCCTTTGTCCTTTTTTCTTTACAGTTTTTTTTTTTTACACACATATTGTATATACAACTTTTAAAATAGCTGCACAATTTTATATCTCACCGTTAGAGAAGTGCAGTCCAGGCAGACCATGCTTCTCAATATATTAAAAATATTAAATAAAATCCAACCAGTTTCATACTTTTCTAATAGTCAAGCTGGCTGGAAAAAAGGGTCTGGAGAAAAAACAGGCAGTTGTAAAACAGGATCAGTCTTTCTTCACAAACACACTACTTAAAACTCTTGCTAGTTCCCTATCTTATCCCTTTTACACCATCTCTAAGATCTCACCTTAAAAGTTGGAAATATCACATCGCTAACTTAGAGACAAAATCTGTTGAAACATGCATATGTCAACTGCCCACTCAACCAACTGCAACCCTGAGGATTTTTCTGGCCCAGTAGAAAAGAGGAAACACTAAGATAATCTCTGCTGTAGAGTTGCTTCTCCAGTTAACAATATCATGTGTTTTTTCAGGATGTTTCTTGGGCATGCATGTATGACACTGTCACTTCATGATTCTACTTTCCATAAGCAGGTATCTCCTCCACTCTTTCATCCCAAGAAAGCCACTGTCATCCATCCAAAGGTTTTCCAAGGTAAACCAAAGTCACTTCTGTGTTACCATATACAGCAGAAACTGCTGGATATAAGCAGACCTTTGGAAGTCCTCTAAAGGCAACCCCCAGGAATTCATATCCACGTTCAAAAGCTAAAGTCTTATCTTCCATGTCCAAGATGACTCGAATTCTTTCTCCTATCTGCAAACAGACATCAAAAGAAGGTAAGAAGAAAACCCATAAAAGGCACAGCTAGATGTAATCAAGTTGAAAATATTATTAAGAATATGTATATCTCAAAAGTTATCTAGAAAAACCAAAAAAGTTATTTGGTCAGGGAGAAACATCTAAAAAAAGAACATACATCAATTTCATCATAAATGTTTGTTTTGATAGTTTTTTTTTAAAAAAACTTAAGACTTGTGTGGGATTTATATTTAATACTGAAAATTTAAATATTCTTCCTGAACAGTCCCCAGATTTTATTTATTCTTTTTAAAGACTTTTCTTAAGAAGGTTACCATTAAAATCTATAACTTGGCATATTTTACCAAAAAAGGCTACCTAAATTTTCTCAAATTACTATAGTACATACATACAATGGAATGTTATTCAACCTTAAAAAGAAATGAAATTTTAGTATGTGCTACAACATGAATGAACCTTGAAAGCATTATGCTAAGAGAAATAAGCCAGACACAAAAATACGAATACTATATGATTCCACTTGTACCTAGCACCTGGAATATTCAAATTCACATAGATTGAAAATTGAATAGAGGTTACCAGAGGCTTGGGGGAGGAAGAAATGTGGAGTTATTGTTCAGTGGGCACAGAGTTTATGCTGGGGATGATAAAAAAGTTTTGGGTATATATAGTGATGATGGTTTATACAACACTGTGAATGTATTTAATGCCACTGAATTATACACTTACAAATAGTTAAAAGAATAAAGATTGTTATGTATATTTTACCACAATAAAAAAAAATTACAATAAAACACTTCCACTACCTTTAAAATTTACAAAGCAGTTCTACATACAACGTGGAACTACATAATCATGAATAGCCAAATCTGACTATAGGTTCTAAAGATGCAGAATAGGCTTATTAAACAATCACTTTGTGGTCCACTACTCTGAAACACCCGTTTGTTATAAAAATAGCAGTACTGATTGTTAAACTAAACTGGAAGCACAATTATCCATTTCTTTTCCCATTTGGAAAAGTAAACAAAGAAAGAGCATGTTTATCCTTATAATTTGCATGTATTAAAGGCTGTTGCATCTATATACTTGAAGGCAGAAAGTCCTATCATTTGCAATCAAAAATCATAATTTAATACTTCCCAATTATGATACCCCCTGCTGCTATCATTACTTTCCTTCATTGTATTTCCTATCACAAATAACTACCAACATCTACTTTTTCTCTCCCTCTGCCCAACTCACAGATTAACCCCATTTTAAGAACCTACAAATCACCATCATCACTACTGTTACAAACAAAACACGAACAACAGCAAAAATCAGAAATAAAAGCCAGGGGCTTCCCTGGTGGCGCAGTGGTTGAGGGTCCGCCTGCCGATGCAGGGGACGCGGGTTCATGCCCCGGTCCGGGAGGATCCCGCATGCCGCGGAGTGGCTGGGCCCGTGAGCCATGGCCGCTGGGCCTGCGCATCCGGAGCCTGTGCTCCGCAGCGGGAGGGGCCGCAGCCGTGAGAGGGCCACGTACTGCAAAAAAAAAAAAAAAAAAAAAAAGAAATAAAAGCTAATATTTTGATGAGTATTGTTGAGTGATTTTATATTATCTCATTTAATTCTCATATCAATCCTAGGAGTTATCCCTATTTTACAGAAGATGAAAATAACAAAATAGAACCACTCCAAGTGAAATTTGCAAGTTTGCTTTCCCTTTGAGCATACAGCACACATACACATAGCACAGAGAGCAGAAAGACAAAGTCTTACAGTTTTAGGTGTCAGAGGACAAAATTTGGAGACAGCAGAGCAACTGGAAACTTAGAGGAACTCTGCAAGCAAAAAACCACAAAGAGGATGAGCCCCAAAATCTGAAAATAAACTCTGCCCAAATCCTCATGTGATGACTGTATTACACAAACACAGGGGAAACCCCCAGGGAACCAGGCAGAAAAAGTAGCAGCTAGAGGCCAAAAAAACTGAATAAAGACATAAGCTGCTGTATAGTTTCAGTGCAGGCAAGTTAACTGCCTACTAGAACAAGAAAACCTACAGTTTTCAGAAGAACAAAGTAGCTGCTAAAGAAACAAAACATTCCAGAGCCACTACTATATATTATCTACCATGTCTAATTTTCAATTAAAAAATGACTGGATTCGAAAAGAAACAGGAAAGTGTAACTCATACTCATGGAGAAAAAAGCAGTCAGTAGAAACAGACTCCAAGTGGGCCTTAGATGCTGGATTTGGCAAAGACTTAAAGTAGTTATAAAATATACCCAAAGAATTAAAGAAAAATATAGTATTAATAAATGAACAAATAGAGATCTCAGTAGATAAATGGAAACTATAAAAATGAAAATTTTAGAACTGAGGGGCACAATAACCAAAATTCACTAGCCTGGCTCAATAGCAGATTTCAAATGACAAGAAGAAAAAAAATCTATGAACTTGAAGACAGAACAACAGAAAGTAATGAATCCAAAAAACAGAAAAAAAGAACATAGCTTCAGAGGCACAGAAACAAGGATGATATCAAGCAGTCCAACAATTACACTAAATATAAATGGACTAACTACTCAAATCAAGAGACTGGGTTAGATAAAAAGCAAGATCCAATTACATGCTGTCTGGGGGACCCACTTTAAATACAAAGACAGTCTAAAAGTAAAAGGATGAGGGAAAAGAGGTACTTTGCGATAGTAAGCATAAGAAAGTTGGATTGGCTTTATTGATATCAGACAAAATAGACGTAAAGACAAGGAATATTACTAGAGTCAAAGAAGGTCATTTCATAATGATAAAAGAGTTAACCAGGTAGGTAGATATAACAATTTTAAATGTACATACACCTAATAACAGTTCCAAAACACATGAAGCAAAAAGTGACAAAACTGGAAGAAGAGATAGATAAATCAGCAACTATAGTTGGAGATTTTAATACTCCTTAGTAAATGAAAGAACAGGTAGAAAGAAAATAAAGAAAGCAGACAGAAGACTTATACACTACCAACCAATTTGACCTAGCTGTGCTTAATAGATTATTCCATCCAACAGAATATATATTCAAGCATACAAAGACATTTATCAAGGTAAACCATATGCTGGGAATAAAACACGCTGCAATAAATTTAAAGGGACTGAAATCACACAGAGTATGTTCTCTGAAAAACAAAGAATAAAGGACTTTCACTACAAAGTCACAAGGTGAGTCATAGGTCTTTATCTTCAATGATTATTAAGTCCGTTCTCCTTAGGGCATTTGCAGAGCCTGAAAGGACAGTAAGGAAAGGATTCTATAAAAGAAAATCCTTCCAGGCTTTTATACATCAGGAAATGGGATATATTTTAGTTCTTCTACTTTATTATGTCTGACTTGAGGTCATTACTGAGGCTAGAGCTTTCAAACCACATGTTCCTCTGAAATGTACAATCTGTAATTCCTTAAAATTTCCAAGTTCTTATCAGATTATTACTTTTTACACTCTGCTGAATCTATGGTAATCATATAGCTTTTACAAATAGGAACTATAATTATGACCCTAGAATCAAGTGAGTATGGCTTAAGGCTAAGAATTTTTAGGGACTTTGCTGGTGGTCCAGTGGTTAAGAATCTGCCTTCCAATGCTGGGGACCCGGGTTTGATCCCTGGTCAGGGAACTAAGATCTCACATATGCCGTGGGGTCACAAAGCCCGCGCGCCACGACGAAAAATCTGTGTGCCGCAACTAACACCCGATGCAGCCAAATAAACAAATAAGTATTTTTTTAAAAAATAATTTTTAAATGTAGTAGTTTGGGATTTCCCTGGCAGTCCAGTGGTAAGACTCTGTGCTTCCACTGCAGGGGGCACAGGTTCGATCCCTGATCAGAGACCTAAGATCCCGCATGCTGCGCGGGGTGGCCAAATAAATAAATATGCAGTAGTTTGCCTGAACTCACCTATGTTTATGGAAATTGCTGACACCTCCAGACGCTTTAAACACAATCCAGATTAATAAGTAGCAGAGGGTAAGTATGTATGCACATGCACACAGGTGCATTTGTGGGGGTGAGGGGGTGAGGTGTCCAGAAAAAGTAAATTTGGATGTGCATGATATAAGAAAGATTACAATCCAAAGCACAAGTTGGCAAACTATGGCCCCTGGGCCAAATCTGGCTTGCAGTCTATAAATAAGGTTTTACTGGAATACAGCTATGCTCATTCATTTACATAATTCATGGCTGCTTTCGTGCTATAACAACATAGTTGCACAGTTGTGAGAGACAAGCCTAAAATATTTACTATCTGGCCCTGTATAGAAAAAGTTTGCCAACCTGATTTAAAGACAGATTGCTTAGATTGTATTAGCAAACAAATATTGAGATACTAAAGATTATTGTCAGAGTAGCCAAAAAAGGCCAGTTACACTATTTATTTAAAAGTTACCAAAAAGACAAATAATGCTGCTATATAAAATTTTGTAAATTTAAAACAAATTAAGCCATGACTTAACAAAGGCTCAGAAAATACTCAGTTTCTCACCTGATATTTTGGTGCATTGTTGCATTGTGGAAAACTGCCATTGACTTCTCCATTATGTAGTAGATTATTGTCCACTAGATTCCAGCCCCAGCTCTGGTCATCACTGCCCAGCAATGCCACATAACCTTGGCATTGCATGGGGGCCCGTTTTGTGGCAATTCCAATCACTGCCACAGTGCCCAGAGGGCCCTCCCACCACACTTCCCATGCATGGCGGCCCTCACTGAAACCAATCTTGGTCCTTGCACCATCAGTGCTCTGAGCGATGGGGTTTCGATGTAAAGTAAAGCCATTCTTCTTAATGTAGACATTCCTGGAGCAGTCGTTAGTGCTGAAAGCATGTTGGAAAGCACGTATCTGAAAAGATGGAAAGCACACAAAAGAAATACAAATTTAATTTTTCTTAAACATTAAAAAGTACCCAAACTTTAGGCTACATGTTTTTAAACAATAAAGTTATATATTTTAAGTAATACAATAATTATTTCTCAAAAATGGCTCACGTTTCAGCATGGGATCCTAACATAATAAATTATGCAACATTAAAAATAAAACTGCCAGCTGTTTCATTATTGACTAAAATTCTAAACCACAGTATAATTTCTCCAAATAGACTTCTTAACACATCAAAAGATATACACAAGAATCCTTATATTTTAGAGATAGTACTGAAATGTTTATGGGTGACATATCTGGGAATTGCTTTGAAATATGGGAGAGTGGGCAGGGTAGACATGAAACTAGACTGCCCATGAATTAATCACTGATAAAGCTTGGTGATGGGTATAGGGAGGTTATTTTCTATACTCTTGTTTATATTCGATATTTTTACATTAAAAAGTTAGGATATGCACAGTTTTCGTGTTGGCAATGCTGCCACCAAAAAGAACTGTATTTTAAGTAAAATAGAGAACTTAGTCATATCAGCTCTAGAGTTTATGAAAAATTTTAATAACCACAAACTATCTTAGATCCTCAGCCTCCTTGCTAGGTATTACTCATACACTGAGACATCACCACTCTCATTTTACCAAATCAAATAATCCCCTAGATAGCATAAATTCAATCACTAAAATTTATAAAGAGATAGTCATTAACAGCAGCTACCACTGACAGGACAGGATAGCTGACCTTTAGTAATCACCAGTTTTTTAAGTTTCCAAAATAAAGACAATATGAAAATTGCTACTCTGTACAAATAATAACATTCTCTCATGTTTTAATAATTTATAGGTTTTGGTTTGTACGTTTTTTAGAAAATCCCTTCTTTATTCAAACAACCCAAAAGCAGCTGAAGGCTGGGACCTATTGCTTTAGTTAACCTGAGAAATCAACTCCAGAATCACAGAATTCCAGCATTAGGAAAGAGGATAAAGTTCACCTACTTCAACTCAGGGATGGGGACACAGGCGTAAAGTCAACAGGTAGTTAGCACAAGAGCCCCAAAGAGAAGTCAAGCATCCAGTCCCCTCATCCACTTCTCATTAACCATTAGCAAGTACTTCACTGTTTAATTGTTGTACTCCAGAGGACAGATTAAAACAAAAACAAAAAACCTCCTTGGTTCAGGTATCCCATATTTTCATAAATGGGATGTAAACCTGAAGTATACCTAAATTTTTTCCAATCTGTTCTTATTATAACACACTTTTAAGCACCTAAAAGTGCTGTACACACCTCAACCATTTGACTCTAGTAAAACATATCTTGAAAAAAATCTAATCTAACCTAAATTGATCAAACTTCTATAGGAAATACAGAGGACAGAAAGCATGTTAAGCAACACCATGGGAATGAAATCAGCAAAATCCAGATTGAGGGAACCTCTCTACAGGGTAAACAACCTGGTTTCTTCAACAAATAAACTGACGGGGTAAGAGGTGAGAGAGATGGAGGGTGTATCTGTAGACTAAAATAGCCTTAAGAGACATATCAACTGTTTGTCATGGGAACTTTATATAGATCTTGCTTAAATAAACTGAAAATTAAAGATATAACATTTGACATTTATGAGACAATTGGAAATTTGAACACCAAACTTTTTATATGAAGGAATTATCATTAATTTCTTTATATTTTAGATGTACTAATGGTATTGTGATTAAGTGTCCTTATCTTTTAGAGATAGCTAATGTGAAAAATCAGATAAAATGGAAAAATAAATACACAAATAAATAAAAACAATCTATAGTTCTTGCTACACAGTCTCATGCGTAAACTGGATTTTGCATTATAGCAAACAGCTTTAAGACCTAGTTTAGGATGTAAGTCTGAAATTTAGACAATTATAGCTAGATGCCAAGTATGACTGGAATAACTGATGTTACTTGGTAATATGTAAAACATGAACTTTTAAAAAGAAGACAAATCCTAGGGGCTTCACTGGTGGTGCAGTGGTTGAGAGTCTGCCTGCCGATGCACGGGACACGGGTTCGTGCCCTGGTCCGGGAAGATCGCACATGCGGCGGAGCGGCTGGGCCCGTGAGCCACGGCCGCTGAGCCTGCGCGTCCGGAGCCTGTGCTCCGCAATGGGAGAGGCCGCCGCAGTGAGGGGCCCGCGTACCGCAAAAAAAAAAAAAAAAAAAAAAAGAAGACAAATCCTAATTAGATTGACAACTCCAAATACTTTCCAGTTTTATGCTATCCCAAGCCTGTTCTCATCATTTTCTCAGTTACCCAGGCTCCCTGGAAATCCTATTTGACCCTTCCTTCTTCTTCATCCCACCTCACCCAGTCAGCTGTCCATAGATGTGGACTTGTTTTCTTGCAATTCCTCTCCCAGCCACCCCCTTCTCTGCTCTATACACTTGTTCTGGTCTTAAGTACCTCTGGTATAGGCATCAACCCCTGCGTTCCTGAATTCACCTTATGGACTGGTTTTTCTAAAGCACAGCTCTTAGTGCGTCCCTGCTTTGTTCAAATTTCTGTGTTTTCCAGCTGTAAGACAAAGCCCAAACTACAGACTGAAGGCTGTATGTCAAGGACCTCCATGATATATCTAGTTTCAGCTTACCTTTACAATCATATTTCCTATCACAATTCAATCTAACTAAACTATTTTATATCTTTAGCCTTTCCTCCAAGCTACAAATTGTAACAGATGCCTATCTGAAAACTCTTGGATGTCTTAAAAACACTGTAAACTCTGTTCTACCAAAACTGAACTCATTGTTTTATTCATCCAAAATCTAGCCCAGGTAATCCCTATATCATATAAGCCAGATACCTAGGAGTCATCCTGTGCACCTCCCTCTTCCTCACCCCTATTTCAAATCTATTGCCAAGTCCTGCAGATTTTATTTCCTAAATTTATTCTAAATTTCTCCCCATCTCTTTTACTACATACTTCCTAATATTCATATTTCTAAGGTCCCCCTCCAAACTGTTCTCCATTCTTAAGTTTGAATAACCTCTAAAAAATGGAAAAATATCACATCACTAATCCCCACACTCCTAACCCCCTTTTGCTTACAATTTAAAATGGCTTCCTTTTGTTTGGCCCCAGTCCACCTCTTCCATCTTTCTCAAACCTGCCTCACTTTTGCTGTCTATGCTCCAGCCACATTGATTATTTTCTGTCCCTCATACTCATCAGGTTCCCTCCTGGAAGGCTCTTCTCTCTCTCTGGCCTATTTATCCTTATCATTCAGGTCTCAGTTCATGCATTATTTCCTCAGAGAAAGCCTTCCCTGACCTCCCTACTTAATTCAAATTCTCCATTACTGACATTCAGAGCATCATGTATCCATCCTTCGTAGGACTTAACACAAATGCAATTTTACAACTGTGTGACTATTTGATTAATACCCACTTCCCCGCACTAGATTGTAAGTGCTATATGGCAAGGCAACCATAAGAGTCTGTATCTGTTTTTATTCACCATTGCATCTGCAAAACTGAGCATAGTGCCTAACATTCATATTTTTTTAAATAAAAATATATGCTGTACAAACCCTCTGCTTTCCATTGCCTTGCTTTTGTTCAGGGTACTTCCTCTTAGTAAAATGTTCACATTCTCCCCATCTTTAAAATTCAGCTCAAATACAATCTCAACCCCAAACCTTCTACAATCATCCACTCAACTTGTAAATCTCTTTCAGTAAACTTCTAGTATATATATATTTTTATATCTCTAACAGTTAGCAACAATTTCTACCATTTCTAACTAATAACCACTAGTTATTTCTATACATTTTTTTCTCCTCTACTAGACTGAGGACTTCCCTACTAGGCTATATGACTCCTTCTGAATTAATCTTTTATCTTCAAGATACTCAAGAAAAGTCCTGCAATATCTGAATGTACATGTGATTAGTACAGGTCTATAATACCTATAGTGCAAGTAGTACAAAGGCATACAAAGTATTAAAAACTTATGAAACCTAAAATATCTCTGGAAGGATACAGAAGAAATAGGTAACATAGGTTGCCTCCAACCTGGATGGCGGTGGTATAAGGACAAAAGGAAGACATTTTGCTTTACATCACTTTGCTTCTTTTGAATCATGTATTCTTCACATGAATACATTATCTATTACATATTATTATATGAATCTTGAATCATGTGAACATGACTATTACAAACCAATTACAAAAATGTCTTAATTTAAAATAAGTAAAAGCAATAAACTTTATGGAAAAGTAAAAAATAAGACTCATGAAATCTACACGTTTATCAGGCACAGTAAGACAAAACTGCAATCTACTGCACTCTACTATATGAATTACTAGTATCCATTGAGAACCTACCATGTACAAATACTGTCCTCGCAAATTAACGTTATTTCATAGAAAAACAACTTGACAGTTGACGTATTAAAAAGCGATATTCCTTATCTTATTAAACTAAAACCTGTTTTATTACAGAAGAATACATTTTACATCTATTTCACATGGAAAAAAAATTTACTCCTTATTCTGGCCCCACTGGCAGTCTAGCATTAAAAAGGTATGTTTTCCCTTTTTAGTTTTTAATGTATTTTTATGTTTACCATATTCTAGGTCAGACTTTATCCTGTCTCATATATGCTCTTGGTGACTGCTATTCTGAAGAGCTGTTTCCATCCAAACTGAACCCAAGTTTAAGGCCTTTTATTTATATTGCTTGAAGAATCCTCTCAGTCCTATCATTATCTGCTACTTGACATTTTTACTTGCATATGAAAGCAAGACTAATCACAAGAATCTGGCAGGGGGAAAAAGGCAGCAAAAATGGAATCAGCACGTTAGATGACAAATAGAACATAAGAGACACAACACCATGGTGGAACTACGAAAAAGGTGGCAAGGAAGTAGCTAGTAATAGTGGGACATGGCAGTATTATGACTGTTAAGTGGTGCCGATGGGAGGATGTTCTATAAAAGCCTCTATGTTGAAAGTGAGCAGGATGCCTTGGACCACACTCATTTATAAGCCTGTAACATAGTGGAGGGAATTTAAGAGTGCTTGGGCAAAAATAAAGAAAAGATGGTTATAAATCAGAGCTTGGAAAAGGTGCGGTGAAAGCAAATATATGAGAAACTAAGCCGATGTTAAGGCAGCCAAGGTGATTTAATAAAGGGCAGGGAGAAAAATAGGAGAGTATTGAAACCTACAACAATGAGGTGGTCTGTTTTTAAGGGTAAAGACTATGGAAAGTAGAATGAGTGACGGAAACCAGGGATGGGAAACCACCTGGCCTTTCAAAAAGTGTATCGCGGAAGTGGGGTGGGTTAAGGAGCAGAACTTCAACCCAAAGAGAAGAGGATCTTCATGGCGCGGGGAGGTAAGGTAAGGTGAGGTATTGACTGGAGCGGTGGAAAGGCGGGATGGTGAGGCGAGGCTTCCGACTCAAAAGCTTAGCTGAGAAGCACTGAGAGCGGCCCGGACAAGCGGGACCGCGGGCAGCGGCGTGGCGCGGGGCTCCCTCACCTTGGCCTTGTAGCTCGGCAGGTTGCAGAGGATGTCCGTGCGCAAAGCTTCCTCTGCCAAGCTGCGGGCGCACAGGCTCCGCCACACCTCGCTGTTCTCATCGCCGTGCAGGCAGCGGTACCAGTGCTTGCACACCAGGGCGCAGCTCCGCAGCTCGGACAGCTCCAGGTAGGAGAACACCAACTCCAGCACCCGGCTGGGCAGCCGGCCCCCGGCCCCGGCAGCCCCGGAGCCGGCGCCCGCGCCCGCGCCGCCGCCACCGCTACAGCCAGCGCCTCCCGAGGCTGCCCCAGCCCCCGGGGCCGGCGCCGCCATCGCCTCACCAGCCGGCCCGAGGGCCGCTGCCGCCGCCGCCGCTTCCCCCCGTCTCTGCTCCGGAGGCCAAGCCTCGCCTGGAGACCGGAGCAGTTCGCTCACCGCCCCTTTCACAGGCTACCGCCCGGCCCCTCCACCACTCCCGCCCCTGCCCGGGGGCGTCCGCCACGCGCCCCGCCTCACTGAGGGCAGACGCACCGGCCGCACGGGCGTCCCCCGCCCCTCCCCCGCGGCTCAGCGCGGGCGCCGCAACGGCCCGACTCGCAAGGCCTCCCGGCGGCGCGCCCGTGCCTCCGCCATGCGGGTTGAGGGCACGAAGCAAGGGCGCACGCCCAGCTCACGCGATTCCTCTCGGCCCCGGATGTGACTGTTTGGCTGAGGCGCCTCCACCCCTACGCTAGATGGGATTGGGCGCCCACGGGTGAGGTCATCACCAGGCGCCTAAGAGGAAAGCTGGAAGCGCAGGTATGAGGCTGTCGCTGGTGGGTTCCAGGCTCTCCTCCGGTGCCTTTTCCCCTTTTTAGTCTAGTGGTTTCGCGTCGGCTTTTCTGGACCACTTTTCCTATAAGTTTTCGCTGAGTCATTTGGGTCCCTGCTTCACCTTTCCAATCTAACGCATGAAACTTCCCTCTCCTAATTAGCCAGTCCTTCGGCGGGTGAGGTCGTGTATTTCTGGTCAGGCCCTCTTGTTCTCCCTTAGTACCAGTGCTTATCAGAACGTGTGTCCCAGCGTGTATACAGCATGTGAGGTCGCCACATTTGAACACCTTCCCCACCCCGCCCCACCCCCAGTGTTCGGATAACCTTAAAGTGCCGTTTAAGTGCTTATTAAGTGCTACATTCTTTTGGACAAAATGTGGCTTTTCCTAGTCTTTCCTACTAACCCACGATTGGTAGGCGAATTAAAGCTGTGTGTTTTTAACTAATGAGACATTCCAATAGGGAGAATGACATGGAAGCTATAATTATAGAAGGCTTCTTGGAAGGGAAAGAGTTTCAGCATT